CGAGGGACCTGGGGATCGGGACATCTACCGCAAGTGGGGTGAACATGTGCGCAAGCCCGGGCCTGGTAGTGGTGATATCCCGGGAAACGGGGGAGTTCCATTTGAGCACCCCTTGCTTCCAAAGGGTCTCGCTGCGTTCCCTTGGGACCTGGGGATCGGGACATCTACCGCAAGTGGGGTGAACAAGTGCGCAAGCCCGGGCCTGGTAGTGGTGATATCCCGGGAAACGGGGGAGTTCCATTTGAGCACCCCTTGCTTCCAAAGGGTCTCGCTGCGTTCCCTAAAGTATGTGGTGACCTGGGTCGGGTGGCCACAGCTTTGGGGGTATCCAGGTGGCTGGCTGAACGTGCTTTCGGTCATGTTTCATTGCGGTGGTCTGCCCGGTGAAACCCAGGCTCCTCGGTGCTGGGGAGTGTGCCCTACGGAACCCTGGTATTTAGGCCCTACCTGCAGTCAGGAAGCTGGCTCAGTATTGCGTCGCCTGCACTTGACTGATTCCCATAAACCTGAACCCTGCTTCCTGAACCCTTACCTGTGTGGGCATATTAATTTGGTCATCCTGCGTGGGTACCTGCATGTGGTGTGAGGACGCCGGTGCATGGTACCCTGACAATTTATAATAAGATTCTTCTGACCAAAATGGCCCAAAATTGAACACCTAAGGTTTGATCTACAATGATCTGGAGTTTATTCCACTGGATAAAAGAAGGGCTTTGCAAAAGCCGTATAGATGGTTTGTTATAAAAATACTACTGCAAATAAAAAAAATTAAATGTCCATAGCAAATAAAAAAAATTAAATGCCCATATTTTTTAAGAAAATACATGAATTCTGATTTGTTGGCACTTTAATATCAAAGTGTATGTAAACCCTAACCACAAACTTCCCTTTTTTGGACCCTTTTGGTCTGTTAAAATTAAACTATTTTTATATCTGTCCAAAAAACACCTATTTTCTGCTAATTGTAACCAATTACATTGATGTCAATGTACGTATACATTGACATTAGCTATCACTAATGACTACATAACCATTCCCTTTCAAGTTATAGAGAATAGGAGAGGGGCAGAGTTCTGTAGTTCTATATTGTTTCTTGATGTATTTGTTGTGCTGATAAGCGTGGTCACCCTAGGACAGAAAGTGTGTTACTGAGCAGATAATAATAAAAGGGAAAAAAAGGCCTGGAAAAAAAAAAATACAGCCACCACATCTAAGGTAATATTACATTTTACCTTAGATGTTACCTTAGATTTTTTGCAGGCAATCCAAAAATGAACTCTTGCAGTGGGGCTACCCCTGCACTGCAAGGGTTAACTGCTCGTTTTGGTCTACAGGCTAAAATAAAGAAGATACTCATCCGATCCACGGTCCTGTGGTGGTGACTGCACGCTCTCTTCCCCTCCTCTCTGGTGGTGGAATGTCCCTCGGCATCCTCACACCTAATGCAGTTGCATTAGAAGTGATGATTAGTGATGGGCTCAGGCGTGTTCGCAGCTCCACGTGCCGAGCCCGCCAGGAAGCTGACAGCGCCAATCACAGGCACTGAGACATATCCCGATCTCTGCAGCTGCGGACCGGGATAATGTCTCAGTACCTGTGATTGGCACTGCGGCGCTGTCAGCTTCCTGGCGGGCTCGGCGCGTGGAGCTACGAACACGCCCATCACTAGTGATGATATCACAGGACCGCCAGAACTCGGGGGAGAAGAGGCTGCAGGGAGTGGTCTAGCAGCTAAGTAGGACTGAGGATCAGGTGAGTGTATTTTCTTTATTTTAGTCCCTAGACCAAAACAGTTAGCAGTATCCGCACTGCAAGGGTTAATGTTCCCATGGCCTGGAGTAATATTTTTGCAATAGTAAAGTATTTAACCCTCCTTTCCAATGATTAGTGCAAAAAAGTTTAAAGATACCCTTTAAACTTTTAGGATTCCTTAGATCCCTTAGTTAGGCTTGACAAAGACGCCTGACGAAGGGATGTAAGGAATCCTGAAAGCTTGCATCTTTATTACCTTCAGTTAGCCAATAAATAGGATCACTTAAACTCCAAACTTTCTGTAATATTTTTGGATAGACTTTAATGCAACACATTTTCCCAGAACAGAAAGGATTACAACCTCATAGCCTCCACATTGGGATTGTCCTCTCCTCTGAAGAACTGGTTACTCCGGTCTGTCCTCACAACATCCTTATCCACTGTGAACTGAACATTTCTCCAGAAATCTTTCTGAGCATCAGGGCTCATGGATACTCTGTATATTAATGAAAGAAGAAAAGAGGTGGTAAAAACCTAAATGAGGTGTTTTTTTTACTATGCCACTAGTAAAACACTGATAAGGATTTATTGAAAGTTGTATTTAAATTGAGTAATACATGCTTAATTCTGCTCTTGTGATATTGAAATGATTACCTTTTATTCTGTATCTGAGCATATTCCTCTCTTCTCTGAACCCGCAGAGATTCACGCTCCTCAGATGTCGACTCCCAGTTGTAGTATCCCAGAAGGAATGGCCACACTTCCCCCCTCAAGGATGGCTCAATGCCACCAAAAAATATTGCCTGAGACAGAAGGTAGAGTGAGACTTAAATAGGCCTGCTAATATCAGATGACCTATCAGAGCATTGAAAGTGAAAATCCAGGAGAATGACTGAATACATAGTTGAATTCATATACAAGAACTGTCTTACCTGACAATTCATAATTCTGTTCAGCTAGTATTCTGATTCCCACACCTCTGCTACACAATAAATCCAAGAAGGATATGATTTTCTGGTTACTGCTTTTTTAGTCTTCTCCTTCCTTGGTGAACAGAAGTGCTGATGCTGATTCATTGTTCAATCAGCATGCCGGAAGTGGAGAGAAGACCCAGAAAGCTGTAAGGGCTAGTTCAAACCAAGCGTGGAGCAGGTGCAGACCGGATCAAAACTGTGTCCAATGTATTCCTATGGTATTTTTAGCTCCAGTTCACATCGCAGCGTGCAGATCCAGAGCAGGTAAAAAAACTGCATGTTTCCAACTATGCAGCGCCAACTTACGGATATGTCTAACTAAGTATTAGCTAAACGTGTATAACTTAATTGGTCCTTTGACCTAAAAATACACCGTGATCAGTGACAAAAACATATATAAACCAAAATGTATCAATAAACAATCAGTGTGTATAAATCAATATACAACTTGAGATTATTATACCAAATAAACATTCGTAGATAGCATAAAATTGTGAAATAAAACAGTGCAAAAATTGAGTGACTGTGTTAAGTGCTCATACGGTATATAAACACAATGGCCCTGGACCCTGAGTCCCACAGAGTCCCTTAAATATTTAGTACTGGTGTGAAAACACCAGCAGGCCCTATTCCTGCTCTGGATCTGCAAATGCATGCAAATGCCTGGAACGCACTGAAAGCCCATGTTAAAAAATATTTATTTATTTTTAGCCAAAAACAGGTCAAAAACGCATCTAAAAGACTAGCGTGCGTGTGCAGAAACCTGACCGGATCTGCTCTGCATTTGGTGTGAACAAGGCCTTAAGCTCACCTAGGAAGTAAATGTTTCACCTCTCCAGTGTGGCAGGGGTGGCTGAATCAAAAGACAGGTGGAACAAATGATGTATCCTTTGGTGGCTCACACACATGTATTTCAATATTTTTAAAACTTATATTAAGTCACAATGCCCACTTGAGTTACTGGCTTTTGTTTGTACTCAGTAAAAATCATAATTGGAGATAAAACAAATCAGGGCAATATTAGTGCTTTTTAGACATCTGAAAGAAATAGAACCTTTCATTAACCCCTGCACCCTTCCCAGCTGACCTGTCCCCGATCTGCCAAGATCCCCTCAGCACCACACAGCCACTTGTCAGAACCTTCTTTGTCAGCCTTGAACATTGCAATTTCCACTTGAACTGCCATGAAAAGTGCAGTCACACTTTAGGCCCCGTTCACATATAGCGACATACCTTTTGCAGCGGATCCGCACGGCCGGGATAGCGCGACTTTCGGGGCGACGTTCCAGCGACGATCCAGCGACGGTAGCGCGACCTTCCCCGTCGGGCTTCATAGAAAAAAAGCAAAATCACGCAAAATCCGCCGAAAAAAGGGTCCGGTAGAAGCGACTTGCGACCGCGAGGAGCGACGAGCGACATGGAGTTAAGACAGCTCCATTGAATAACATTGGCCGGCGACTTCTCGCGATATCGCGCGGCAAAAATGCGCGATATCGCGGCAGAAATCGCGCGACAATTCGCTATATGTGAACGGGGCCTTAGAGCTGAACTCCAGGCTCAATAAAACATACAGCTTGAAATGATAGTTGGCCTCAGTCTTTGCTTAGAAATAACAGTATATTTGTGAAACTAAAGCTGACCATTCACTGGCTGAAAAGCAAACGAGGTGGGGGGGAGGGGGGGGGGCTGTTGGCACCACCAAGCTCAACAAACTTTGACTGAGAAGCCAGGAAGAAAATTGCCAGACGGCCATTGACTATTCAGCTGCATTCACTGTTCGGGTAAGCCAAAGACGCTGTCTGTCAGTTCAATAGTTGGCTGGGGAGATTCCTAATTCCATGATCTTTTGCATTCATGGGAAAATCTATCGATTTCTCTCATTCAGCCCAGCAGTATATTGCCAGCTTAAAGTGACACCAAGCTTAGGGGTAAATCTTAAAAACACATGCAAGTAACCTAACTATTTAAAAAACTGCACCTTATTTGTGTATCACTCTGCTGTAGATCCACAAATCATCTCTGAATTCATGCTGACACTGTCCTTCCTTCTGGAGGGAGGCTACTTTTGTTCCCCATTGTCACTGTCTGTGTGTTGTAAAGTAGCCACCACTCCTTTATTTGCAGAAGCTCCAGGTGGGTGACCACTTTCTTTGTACATCCATCTCTCCTGCACTCTGCAAGCCTGGTCACTAACACACCCCTGTTAAAGACACTATCTCAAGTTTGTTTTCAGCACTGCACCATTTACGCTACATCTTGTTAGTTTTGAGTATCTGGAGTTCAGCTTTAGGTATAGCACAACCTTTTCTGTATAAAGCAAGCTGAGAGGCAAAGAGAAAACCAGCCCAGGAGACATCACAGTTCGACAGTGGGCTGTAATCCAGCTCTTGTACATGTCTGTTCTTTGGCTGGTCACTGCTTCACTTCACATTCCTTCCAGCCAGGGACTCAGCACAGTACCAAAACTAGCTCTTTCCTTGTCCAACAAGGGAGCAAAGAAAGTACAGTATGCCAATGTATGTAGTTAAAGAGACCCTGACATCATCAAAAAAAACTCCTATAGGTATAGAGTGCAGACACCTTCCGTGTAGTGTTTAAGCTTGCTGCTACCTACATCCACATTTCTACAGGTCCATCACTACATTGTTTCTCTGCTCCTGCAGCCTTCTGGGATAAATACTGTAGGCAGTCCAGGAGGCTACAGTAGCAGGGACACATCATTCTCGGCTAGGCAAGCATGGTGTCCCCCCTCCCCAAAAGGCTTTCTCAGATTGTGGAGGGGGGAGGAAGCCAGTTACTGTATATTAAGTCAAAAGTGAGATTAAAGGCCCACTTTAAGGTCTGGCTGCAGATTTCTCAGGTCACAGCTAGTTCTGGAAAGCTGCAGCCGTTCAAGCTGTACAAAGCAATGCCAGGCGGACAGTGGCTGCAGCTGTCTGCCCATGTTCAGATGTAGTTGCACATGGAGTAATTACCTGTGGTTAAAGACAGAAGAGTACCCCTGGACATAAGCTGCTTTCTGCAGGACTGCACAGCTGGACCTTAACGTCTTGTATGAATGAGGCCTTAATCACAGGATTTTAGTCTTTTTTTAAAAGCTGCTGTTGCAACTGTTCAAACAGCCCTGGCAGCGTAATTACAGATTACCCCAACCTCTTTCAAGGTCAGTATTGCTAGACAGCTTGGTCTACTGGTACACATGAAGAAAATATTAGTAAATCATATCACATACCATTATCAACATATTTATTTTGTGATAGCGGTTTTATAAAAAGAAATTTAAACAACTATGGGGCTCCGTTATCTTATTGCCCATTAACCTGCCATCCTAGGCACTGACCCACAGAGGCCATTATGGTAAATACAGCCCTGCCTCTGACCCATGATACAAAAACTGAAGTATCAGGCTCAAACAATCACACCAGGAATGCATGGTGTCATGGGTCTGCCCCCTAAGAAGGTGGCACCAAGACACCCTTTATTCGAAGTGTATTGGTGCAGAGAGCGGTGCTGGTGTAATCATGGCAGTGCCGCTCCCTGCATCACCAAAGGTCTTTCCACTGGTAGACTCAAAAGGACCCAGCCCAGTCTTGAACACTTCTAAAAAGGTTGGTATATAAAAAAAACAAAAAACTAAACTCAGCAAAACATACTGGCAGGGGGGCCTTAAGACTGAAAATGTATTGCATAAGCATCATTTTCACTGGCAGCTCTCAGTTTTCATAAAGAAGAGGTGAAGAGGAAACAGAAAAAATAGCTCATTGCCAATTTGAAAAATATGTATATTTATTGTAACAAAATATGTTAGGTTGTTAAATCTATCAAACGTAAATATACATATATTTGTTACTTTACAGATCCTGACCTTGCGCAGTTTGTACTCTTCCTCCACCTGTCCAACATCATTGAAATGTTGCAACCATAGAGTAACATGAAGTTTCTGGTACATGCCCTCTTCAGGATGAGATTCAGCAGAGGGTAGATTGGGCCTCTGAATTGAGAAGTGGAGACATGTCTTGTCCTCTGATACCTGCTATAGAGTAAAAAAATAAATAAAAGGGGAAAAACACACAACAACCAAAACAATCTAAGGCCTAACAGTTAAAGATATTACTGACAATTCACTGACAATAATAATAGTTAGAATTTAATGTAGAACACTATTAAATGGATGTTAAGGAAAAGTTAAGAAATAAGTTATAAAATAAGTTAATGCTTATTTTGCCACGGTTTCATTTTTTTTTTTTACACCTGTCACTGCGCATCCATCCTGTGAGCCTCAACGCCAGCAATGATACATTGTAACACGATTACTTGGAAAAAAAAGGAATTTAATTAATATTTAAAACACTTCAGCACAATAAAGTATAAGCTTTATTGTGCTGAAGATTTTGGCAATATTTCACAATCTTGACAAAATGCATTGGAGTGAACGGGGAAGGTGAAATGAAAGTCGTTTTTGTGGTTTTTATTTTTACACAAAAAAGAAAACTAAACACATAAAGCAAACAAAAATACACAAATGCATTAAAGAGGCTGTGTTGTTTGTGGAATATAGCCAATGGTAAGCGCTCGGAAAAAACACTACCCCATAGTTCTCTTTAGGGTCACGGGAGGACATATGCTAACCTCCTCGCGTGACCCAAAGCTCAGTATATTGCGGGCTATTGCGAGACGATCGGGAAGTGAGCAGATTGTGCATGTTTCTGCTCACTTCCCGGTTGATAGTGCCGACCTGTGAGAGCTTCTTTGTCACAGGTTGGCTCTAACTATGAGGATGAGTGGAAATCACTCACCTCATAGATCTCCTTTTAAGGACCAGTCTTGAAGTCAACTTGAACATAAACAGGATAGTCTTTATTCCTCTTCAACATAAATGAAACAGTTCATGTGCTTTTTATAATAATCTGCTTTTCCTCAGCATATACACTCTTTAGCACACCTCTGTGTGATACTCACACTGCTCACCTCTCGTGAGCACTCACACTACTCTCTCAGCAGTGTGTCCACCAGGTCCCTTGGGTCACCGACCTTCCACAGCCTCCCCTGGCTGTTCCACATGCATCCAGCACGCACCCGAGTCTGCTTGTGGCCGTGTGCCTCCTGCACACCCACACACCACTGGCTTGGCTTGACCATCATGTGCCTCCAAGCACATACCACCTCTTCTCTTGAGCTCTGATCTGGGCTCCTAATGAGGATGCTCCCAGCCACCTGATCCCTGGCAAGGCAACACCTGACCGCAGGACTGGAGATTTCATCCCACCCAGAACTCTAAGAAATCTCCAGAGATCCAGATCCGAGCTATAATCCAGAAAAAACGGAGGCAACTGAAAGGCCAGCTTCTTCCCTGAAAAACTATTTTCGTTCTTGAACCTCTCAGCCCCTCTGGCTGAGAGTCCTGGGTGACTGTGTTGCCAGTATACTCCGTGGCATTGCCACACACTGCCACAAGGCTTTAAAGAGTAACTCCACTTTAAAAATAAAAAAAATCTTTAAAAATTAATATAGCATATAGAATTGTTGCACAAACCATTTTGTCATTTAAGGTTAATAAAAAGTAAAACACTAATATAGAAAAAACTCTGGGCCTCAAATACTCCTATGGGTTATGGAAATTCCTTTCAACTATCCTGGATCTGTGTTTGAGCAAAAAACAGCCCCAAGTCTAGCAAGCCATGAAAAAAGACAAATCATTAAACTTCCCCATGCATGCTAAACAGCATAGATAGAGGAATCCCTGCTGCTGTCTATTGTATTCAGCAGCCACTGCATACCCCTGAACAGCGCCTGTATCCGATTAGGTACAGGAACTATTCTGCAAAAATTTAGCAAGTCGGCACGACCACTCACAGCTGGCATATCGTCTGATTCAGCAGGAATCAGCCCAAATTTGAGCAGTGTATAGCCAGCTGAAGCCTCATTCTTTTTTTTCTTTTTTTTTTTTTACTGAAAATAATAATAATACAAATAGGACAACTGCAAAGAACATACAATTAAAAGAGAAAAAAATCAAATTACCCTAAATACACCCCAAAAACCCATATTTTAATTGCTTTTTTTCCCATGCACATTTCGCCTAAGCAGCTCAGTGATCAAAATTGGGTGTTTGCGCTTTGGAAAAATGTCACCAAGATCTGCAATTTTGCAGAGAAATTAATTTAGCTGAAATCACTCAACCTTAATAAAGGCAGACAGAAAACAAATTTCTGCTACTGCCAGGATTTCTATACACTCCCTATTCTCTGTTGGTATTATACTGACACCCAATGTCAGATCGAATAAATGATGTGTTCAGCCTGTCCCAACCCCATTAAATATTCACAGATTTAATGACACTTTAAGCACTGTGAGGTATTATATTATCATGGCATTTACCAGCTGGTCAGTGATACCAGAATACATTTTACATTGATACACATATAACTCAGTTGGTGGAGAACTGCTTGTCTCATGGGAAGATCTTTGATTTGTATTAATTATGGCTGATTAACCCATCCTCTTTTGTTAACATTGAATCTTGGTAGCCAGCCCTTCCCTCAGGCAGAAGCAATTCTGGATATGATCCAGCAGAACTGTATATTACAAATGGCCTATGCCACAGCAAAACCAGGAAAGCTGCATTACATGGCTACTACTGAGGCCTGCACAGTGCAGAAGCATAATTAATTATCTTCATCCACCACCACAACAGCAGGGACAGGATACAACTGCTTTGACTGGAACTCTCCAGGGGGTTGTCAAATGTCATTGGCATGAAAATATGCTTCACCAGCTTAACATGATCCACAGCTCTGCACAGTTTAAAAACACTGTGCTCATTTTCGGTCGCACTGTAAAAGTGGCATGTGAACATGTTCTGTTCATACAAATCAGGCTTTTTAAAATCTAAATACTAAATTAAAGCTTGTGATTTTAGCTGATAATTGCCTTGGTTCACTAAGCTATACAAAATGTTTTATGAGCCATAACAATATTACTTTAGGCCATGTGACTGCTAGTAACAGTTCTCATTGGATCTCATTACTGAAAATAAGGGTCAACCATTGTTGTAGCTTAACGTGTTAAGACTAACATGTGTCAGTATTAAATAAAAACACGGAAAATTGTATCAGTACCTATCAAAATTTTCCTTTCCTGGTGCCTATCCATGTCAGTATATATTATGGGTAGGCTAGTGCCAGGAAAATGGAAAATTGTGTCAATATCTTTCCTTTCATGGGGCTTAACCACTTGACCGGGGTGTTAAACCCCCTTCCTGTCCAGAACATTTTCCAGTATTCAGCGCTGCAGTACTTTGACTGACGTTTATTCCGTCATACAACGCTGTACTGAAAGCCGGCTGAACACTTGTATGTAACAGCTGGTAACGGCTGTTTACCTTCCTGGCTAGACTATGCTTGCGCGCGCCCGAAAGGGGGCACGTGCGAGCAGAATAAAAATCACGTACATATGCGTCCACCCGCCGGGAAGGATCCTCTGTCTGCCCGAATTTTTACAATGGGTGGACGGCAAGGGCTTAAGCATGTCAGCACATATTATGGGTATACATATGTGGGCACCAGGAAAAGTGGTATCAATACCTCCCGCAACTTTGCTTTCCTGGTGCCTATCCATGGCAGCATATATTATGGGTATGCTGCCATGTAGGCACCAGGAAAATGAGATCAATACCCACTGTAATTTTCCTTTCCTGGTGCGTATCTATGGCAGCATGTAACATGGGTGGGCTGCCAAGTAGGAGTCAAGAAAAGGAATCAATACCAACTGTAAATTTCCTTTTCTGGTGCTTAACCATGGCAGTATACATTATGGGTATGCTGCCATGTAGGCACCAGTAAAATTGTATTATCACCTACCACAACTTTCCTTTCCTGGTGCCTATCCATGACAGCATACCCATAACATATGCTGCCATGTAGGCACCAGGAAAAAGCTTTACTTGAGCAGGTCTTACTGCAATTGGCAGTGCACCAAATGGGAAGTAATTTTAGAACAAACATGCTGCATTTAAATTTGGCCCAAGAACAACCCCTACTTTATTATACCAGAGCTCCAGCCAAAAACAACAAGGTAATAGTGAACAGTCCATTAAAAATAAAATAACAAAACCGGACGTTGCTACAATATTTACCTTCAATGCAAAGATTTTCCATGCAGTACATTTCTTTCTCCACTAAACTGTAAACTTTTCCTCTAAACTATGGGGTCCTGGACCCACCCCAGCCTGTGACTGGATAGTGAAAAGAGAAGCAGCACAATTATGAGCTCATTTCTCACTCTGCTTTCTCTTCCTATCAGCATACTTCTTTTCAGAACATAAATTGATTGGCACCTTGTTCTACTTCCTTCTCACACACTCTAGGCCTGTAATACAGAGACTGCAAGAAATCAATGCTTGTATTCAGAGACATGAAAAATGTTCACTCATGTAAAACACACATCTCTGGCTGTAATTTCAACCCTTAACGGAGAGTGTTTTTATATTCCACCTTTAACAAAGTGTCACTGTGCAATGCACCAATTACTGTTTAGGAACTAAACTGCAATTTGCTCATGTTGGCAGGACACACAAGCAAATCATTCTTCCCATAATACAAAGGGGTCACTATTTGCCTTTTAACATAACTGTCCATCACCATTACAGAAAAATTGTCTTTCAAAAACAATTTAAAAGTCACATGAGTTTTCGGAAACAAACATTGTCAGTCATCATGAATTTTCCATCCTTATTTTTATAACTCCTGAATGTATGATGAAACATAATTTAAATGACTTAACCAATCACGTGGAAACCCGCACCAATAAACCTGTAACCAAACAAAAGCACATACTTTCTATGACCCCCCAAATACACCAATCTACTAAAAAATGAGGGACGGTCACACACATTTGCTCATTTGGATACAAATTACCTAGTTAATAAAGCTTCCAAAGCTCAGGAACTCACTGTAACCAATTATCATTTTGTATTTTTAAAGCAGAGCTCCAGGTAAAACTGTTCTTAACCATTGGAGTGGGGCTACCCCGGCACTGCAAGGGTTAAAGTGCTCATTTATTTATTTTTGTCTAGATGCTAAAATAAAAAGTTATACCTCACCCAAACCGCAGATCCGGCAGGCTGTAACATCCCTCCCTCCAGCCTGTCTCCCCCTCAGCTGCAGCAATGGTATGTCCCTAGGCGTCCTCACGTCCTATACACTGTGCATGAGGCCCCATTCACACCTTTATCTTTAGGTGCGATTAGGGATTCCTGCATCAGGATCTTGCGTTTTCCTACAGCAGAAATCCCTAATCTGCCATTTACAAACGGCAACTGTCACCCGTGGAAGTTAATGATCGACAGATTAGGAATTCCTGCTGCAGGAAAATGCAAGTTCCTGATGCAGGAATCCCTAATAGCGCCTAAAGATATAGGTGTGAATAGGGCCTTAGACATGACTCAGGGACCTTAGACCGCTGCAGAGGAGGAGGAGAAGCACTCCAGGGACCAGTCTAAGAGCAAACTGATCGTCCACCATTAGCTGTCTGTCAGCTGGAGGCTGGGAGACTATTTAGCCCAACCTTTCTGTTAAGGGCTTGTTCACACCATGTTCGGATCATGTCCAGACCAGAACAGTTTGATCCCGGACCAAGAAAACATCGCAATGTATCCCTATAGTATTTCTGGGCTTTGTTCACACCAGCAGAGTCCGCTCTGGACCAGACCAAAAAAATACTGCTGGTCTCATTTTCTTTGGTCTGGATTGCACTGGAACCCATGGCAACGCATCAAAAACGCATACAAATGCATGGCATTAGATGTGAGGAAGCTAAAGAACATTCTAAAACTGGAACGGAAGGGAAGAGAGGTGACTGAGGATCAGGTGAGTATATCTGCTTTATTTGAGCCCCAAGACAAAACAAGCACTTAACTCTTGCAGTGTAGAGTTCTTCTTTAACAACAAACAAGTTCTTCTTCTGCCTACAACCCAGAGCTTAGGAGATAAGAGAGGAATAGCTGGAGGCAGGAATAATGTAGTAAGTACACAAAATCCCACAGTTCAGCTTTAATTAGCCCTAAATAAAGACCCACTTAAATATGGCACTGTGACATGTCTGGTGCAAACACATGGACTTGCTGTCCAGTTTCTTCCTACTTTGTAAAGGTTTTTTCTTCTTCTGAATTAACTACATGTTTAGGGTTCTGAGGATACAAAAGTTGTTCATTATTTTGGTTCAAATTGATGGACACTTGTTTTTTTTTTCAACCTAACTAGCAATTTCATACTATTTGCACACACATGATAAAATCTGTTTTTTTTTTTGCTAGAAAACAGAGTAAAACCCCCAAACAATGATATATTTTCTGAAAGCAGAGGTCCTGTAGAATAAAAAAAATGCTAGTTGCAATTTTTATGTTGCACGGTATTTGCACAAATGTTTGTCAAACCTGTATTTTTAGGATATAATACACTGAAATGAAAAGTGCACAGAAACAGAATATAATACCCAATTTATATAAAATATTACTATGTACCCCTTACTCACTCACATAGGAAGGGGGGCAGATATCTGAGGACCCCCCCATCTTAAAAACTATACACTGTGTGATATTCCCTGGCTAGG